CCTCGCCGTCGTCCTCGTTGTTGTCCGGGTTGGAGGCGTAGCCGCCGGTCTGGCCCTTGGCCAGGCCGAGGCCGTAGCCCGTCTCCTGGAAGAGGCAGAAGAGCATGATCTGCAGCCAGCCGAAGGTGGGGACCGCCTCGAGCGAGCCGAAGCAGCTGGTCGGGATGTCGGAGAACTTGGTGCCCGACAGGGTGAGCGCGCCCGGGAGGACGACGCCCGCCTTGAGCGCGATGACGTGGAGGAAGCCGAGCATGGCGGCGCGGCCGTGCTTGACCTCCATGATCTGCGGGGCAGCGGGGCGGGCGGCGTGAGGTCGTGAGGCGGCGGAGGCGGCGGGCGGGACGCGGGCTGCGGGCCGGGCGGGGGCGGCGACGCGCGCGGGCGACGGTGGAGGCGCAGCGCGCGCGAGCCGACGCTCTGCGCGCGCGGCGGCGGCGCAGAGCGAGGGGCGGGGCGCGCCTCGTAGCGGCGCATGTCGCGCGTCTCGATGAGGCCGAGCGGGTCGTACACGCCGAGCGGCGGGAGGACGCCGATGTCGCCCTCAGAGAACATGGTGACGGCGGACGAGCGGGCCGGCGCGCGCATGGCGGGCGCGGAGAAGGCCTGGGCCGAGTCGAGGACAGCGAGGGCGACAGTGGAGATCATGATTGTTCTGCGTCGAGGGGCGGGGCGGAGCGTCAGGTGCGGCGGGGGGTGAGGCGCGGTGTGCGGGCGGGGCGTGGGCGCAGCGAGAGCGGCCAAAACGCACAAAGAGAGCGAATGAGAGCGTAATTTGCTGGATCTCGAATTATTCACAGCGACGACTGGCGTCCTGGGCTGGGCACCCGCTGCGATGATTTGCCTCTAGATTTGCCTCCGGCGCTCGACGTCCTCACCTTCTGTGCGGGTAGGAAGCACTCGTGGACGCAGTTTCGTGCTGGCGCAGGCGCTCAAGGCGAGGCAGAGTGAGGCGGCCCGCAGGCCGCAGACAGCTCTTCACACCTCCAACAGGGCGGTCCGGGAATGTCAGGGAACGCGTGGAATCTGGTGGGATGTGGTTTGGCCGCAGATCACAGATCACACCGGGCAAACTTGAATACTTTGCGCGCGTCCCTTCGCATGAGCCAGTGCATGGCAGCGGCCTACAACGTCTTCAACGAGTGGGACATGTACTACAAGAGCCCCCCCAACTCGGGCCAGCCGCGCAACCCCTTCGAGATGGCGCGCGCGCGCGCGCCCACGGTGGCCGCGCCGCCGCCGGCGGCGGCGGCGGCGGAGGCGACGGCGGCGGAGGCGGTGGAGGTGGAGGCGGAGGCGGCGGAGACGCCGGAGGTGACCATGGCGGAGGCGGAGGTGGCGCCAGCGGAGGCGGCGGAGGCGGAGGCCGTTCCAGCGGAGGTGACCATGGCGGAGGCGGCGCCGGCGGAGACCGCGCCCGCGCCCGCGCCCGAGGTGACCATGGCGGAGGCGGCGCCGGCGGAGACCGCGCCCGCGCCCGCGCCCGCGCTCGCACCGGCCGCGCCCGCGCCTGCGCCCGCGCCTGCGCCGGCACGCAAGGCCCTGGCGGCCTTTGCGGACACGCTCTGAGGGGTGAGCACGATTGCCGGCGGGTCACCTCGCGCAGACTGCATCGCGCGAACACGTGCCGCACGACCGGACGGCCTAACACGACGGTTACTGTACGCGCTCGTGTGGTGGGGTGGGGGGTGGGGGGGTATGGTCCTGCTGGCCAGAGGCGACGTCCTGTGCGGGTGGGGGGGTATGGTCGCGGCGCCAGGGCGCCGACCCTACCATACCATACCCCGCAAAAAGTCCGAACCCTTGGCACGGGAAACACAATCTAACACACACACACACACGCCCATCCTTATGGACCAGGGCCACCCACATC